CCCCAAAACCCCAAAACCCCAAAACCCCATTTAGATAAAAATATATCGAAACTAGTTTAAAATAATAACTTAGTATTAGAGCATTAAAATGGATGTAAACAAGAGTGCATTCTCACAAGAGAATGAATCAATCAAGCTTGATTATTCCTTCCAAAACCCCTCAATTTCAGGCTCAAGAGGTATCTTTTTGCTGCAAATTTTGCCCCTTTTTAATAAAAATTGCTTTTTTTTTATGCAACAATGATCTGAATAGTACTAAATTACTCATTGAAACTTATAGATGACAGGAAATTAGGAAAATTAGGAAATGCTGGCTCTTCATTCAAGACAAGAGTAGTCTCAATGTAAGTACAATTCAAAAGGCTAGTTATTCCACAAGCACCACGAAATGATAGGACATTTGACTATTCTTGGAAATATTCTTAAAATCTTCAAACTTTTTAAGAGAGTAGTGAGTAAGGTTCTATATAGCTTACCCAAACAGAAAAGTACTAGTTCAAATGACTCTAAAACACTTAAATGAAGGAACAAAAATTTTGACAGGTATCGCTTTAAGTCTCCTGAACTTATTGGCAGGACTATAATTCCAAGGCAGATTCTGCTTAAATAGAAGCGAGGTAGGAGAAGATTCATGATAGCAATTATGAACAAATAGACCTGACTACTTTTCTAATGCTCGATATTTCCTTCTAGTTGCTTTATTACTGAGCAGGGTTAGTTTTGACCAAGAATATAGGCCAAATCTAGAATAAGCAGCTTCTCTAGTGACAAATTTGATAAATAGAAACTCTAAAAATATCCACAGAGCCAGTAGACCTAGCTTTATGACCAATACAATGAAACGAAAGATGTACAAGAAGAGGAACTTTAGCTTGTACGAACAAAAGCCTAGGAATTTCTCAATCCTCAAAAGAAGAGTGGGTTCGATAGCTCCCTCGAAGATAGAAAGGCCGAGTAAAGAGCTCAGGTTTAGCTCAATCTTAGCTAAAACATCCAGAAATATACAGTCACCTGCTGTGAATCCTATAGAGGAAGTGAATGAGGAAATTCATGAGGACCCTGTGCCGAGTATGCATACCCAGAAAGTCCAACAAATCAATGCAAAAGATCATAACTCGCGCTTCTCTCGACTGATAAGCCCCTCGCCTAGAATTATCGGAAGATCCACACTTAACAATTTTGAAAAATATAAATTTGACTGTAATTTACCAGCTATAATCTATAGTCCAGTCTCGAAGAGGTACAACTGATCAATTCATTCAGCAAAGACGAACAATCAAAAGAGAACCAACCTTTGTTCTCTCACTAGATGATAGGAAGGTAGTTGAGCACACCATTGAGGAGGAGAAGGGCTCCTCTCTTTCTCGTAAATCAAGGGTAAGCTTCATTCTTGGTATGACTAGGAGGCCTCTCCTCTTGAGATTTGAGTTATCTAAATCTATACTAATAGATCAGCAAAAGCCGGTCGAGGAAAAGCAAATTCTCAAATTCTAGAAATTGGAAAAACTCTCAAAGGCGGGGTAATATTTAAAATGAGCTTAATTCATCTGTAAATAACTCAAATGTAGCAGAGACTATCGTCAATCGGTCAAATGCTATGTCAGTCTCCCCTCGGAACAAGCAATCTAGCAAGATAGTTCAGATAACCACTCAACCAACAATAGAGAATTTCTTTTCTCTTGGTATAGGTTTTTACTTCTAAACTATAGATGATCATGCAAAGAAGACTAAAGATTGGAATTTATCAAAACAGCCTAAGGAGAGTAAGAACCCCACAAAGGTTACTTTCTCCAGTCAGAATCTCATCTACCCCACTCCTTTCTCAAGTCTTAGCAAGAAAGAGAAAAGGAAGTACCGGGATAGGAGTTTTAAGTCTCATAAGAAAGGATTTGATAAAAGACTTAAATAAAATGGTAGTGGATTTACAAACAAATTTTTCCATATTTTTGACCAATTTACTAGGAAATCAAGCACAAAAATATTCGTAAATCCTTGCGGCGGTCCATGAGTAAGCTTTCTAAGTCACTCACATGCTAAGATAGCTCTGTATAGACAAAAATAAGGGAAAATTCAAGAAACAATCAGTTATTACAGGAGAAAAATGGATGCTCAAGTTCATTGAAATTCCTAAATTCAACACAATGCAACGAAATGTACCTTCTATCCTCTAATTTATAGACCTTAATGGAGAAAACTAGTGAAGAAATCAGGCAGATTATCCGTCAGAGGAAGAAGGAGTCAGTCCTGATGCTCTAACCCTAACTTATGTAACTTAATTTTAACTTAAAGTATCTTTCCTACCTCTTATCTCACCTGCTATGACCAGATGAAGGGCAGCTTAGTTCATGGAGGGTGTCAAACCCTCAGAAAACCACAGTAAGAGCAGTTGTAAAACCCGAAAAGAATGCTTCAATTATCAGAGCATTTAATGGGGTTTTGGGGTTTTGGGGTTTTGGGG